ATGTTCAAATGTGTGTTGACTTTTTAAAATGTGTTTTGTTAAATGTAAATATATGTCTAGAAAACTGGTAAATGTGTTTGAGAATCGTGAAATGCGCTTTGGTTTTCTTGTTTTGTGTTTTGCACTTATGGGCCACCGTAGGAAATTTATAATACAGCATATCGTGTTTTTATGTGTGTTTATTTATGGTCGTTTATGTGAACTATAACCTATACTTAAACCTACAACTCAAAAACTAGCTTCTGACTATAAAGCAAATATATTTTACAGTATTTTCGAGCAAACTACTGTCGGCAAAACGACTGAGTTTTTCAGTTTCTCCTGCAGTTTTACTCACGTTTTACTGTTACGTTTTACATTAAATTTTAACTATTGAAAGCCATATAACATACAACTATCGATACATCCCAATGAAATATGAAAATCAATTATTCTTTAGTTAAAAATTATCTCGTATTATTTTCACGTTAGTCGGTACCATAGCGACTACTATTATTTTAAGCATGGAATGGAATACTTCATGTGGAATTTCTAGATTTCATGTGTTAAAAAAAGGCGAGGGGTTGCTGCATGCTTGTATTTCTAGTAGGTATGTGTAATATTTGGGTCATTTTAAGAAGAAACGTACTGTAATAAATATTTATAGTAAAAAAACTATCGTCCAATCCCATCATTGAAATTGAGCATTCCAATGCCACAGCCTTTGTTTGTTAGTTATCTACATGAAAATTTGGCCATAGAATTGAACAATACTTAAAAGAGCGAGAACAAAACTGTGAATTTTGGAATGGGAAATTATTGTTAACTTCTCGACGGAATGAGGTATTTATTTTAAATGTAACTTGGAATATCGAATATTCAGTTTAACAATTTAAAATACGCAATTTTTCAATGTCAAATTTTATGCATTTTGCCAAATCACCCTTGGGAATGTGGAATTTTTGAGTGCAAAAATTCCGCCTTATCCCCGATGTCATAGAAGGGTTTATGTTAGACTAATAGACTGAGTTAATTATGTTAATTTGTGCACGGTTACGGTGATTGAGCTCGTTGTATTGTCGTATAACTAAGTAATCGTCCAATAGCGATAGCTGAGATGAAACGTGTAACCACGATGAATAATATTTCATGAAGTTGAGACAAAGAATTTGTGCACGGCGAGGTACAGCCAAACATCAAACAAAGGCCTTCTTTTTTGCGGCCTTTTTTGTGGCTTTGATTTGAACTTGCTGGGCTACCAGACCATCATATCTCGACGTTATTTTAATCACTTTTTTGAGTCAAAATACTCTGGTGTTTTTTCAGTGTACTTACATTCAAAATCTATCCTCAAACTGCAAGTTAGAGAGCAATAGCATTTTCGACGATGAAAACATAGTTTCATAGCTTTGTTTATAGTTTGTAGTTCTCACTCCTAGTTAAATTTAACATGGCGGATTTGAAAGTGCACGCATGAAACAAAGTGGAGACTCGTGATTGATGATCAAGTACGCATTCTATTTTTTCTGTGGGAAAATGCTACTAAAACTATTTTTAGCTATTGGACGTCAATTTCCGCCATCTTGGCTTCACTTTTCGTAATCGTATTGTATTGTTGCAAAAACGTGCAGTACGAATTGTCGACAAACAATTTTTCGGTGCTCGTATACTACTCCTATTTTTTACAAACACAAAATACTGAAATTTGAGGATATCAAAGGATATCTATTTACTTCAATTGGGTAAATTTATGTATCTATATCAACAAAAATTACTTCCTGATTGTTTTGAAGGTCTATTTTCATACGTTCGTCAGATTCATAATTATAATATCTCCAATGTAGGACAAATATTCGTCAGTTTTCGGTCAATTATCAGGGTCCTACAGTAAATTCTTTAATACGTTGAATCCCGATATACGTAACTCTTCATCTGTATTTAGATTTCAGTATATGTTAAAATTGTTTCTCTTTTCTCACTACATATAATCTCAATAATTTATTTATTTCAAATACATCACGTGATACTTTTTTTGTAACATTTGTATTTACTTAAATTTATAATATATATAAATTAGTTAATGGAACAATTGCTCTCCAGCCAGCTAACTGAGCTAAGAATTAAGAGTAGACACAGACAGCTTTTGTGTGGGAGAATGGGTTATGGGGGTAAAGTACTCCTGTTACAATTATAAGTGTCACATTATATATGTATATTTAACCCACTATACTTTTTATGGCCTTATATTTCGTCCTGCGGGGTATATATACGGCCCGCTCTGATAACCCTATGGTAATGGTCCTTAGGGCTGCCGTGGGGGTAAAGGTCCGCAGAGCACATGCCAGAAGGGTATATTTTAGTACAAATGACAGCTGTGGGTCTGTGACCTTTGTACCGCAAGAAAAATATTCAAATCCATTGTCATATAAATTAGACTAAATTTGTGGGGAGCATTGCCCATTAAATATAACATAACATGAGGTAGCCCAAATCCTTATAAGCCTTGTGGTTTCTATTTGGGCTTCCTCACCACTTTTGTTCAAAACAACTATTGCTTATTTGTATTGTGGTAAACAAATCAATAAATCAAATCATATTAATGACCGAGGTTCTTGCTCCAGATATATACAGTAGAGCTCACAGGGCACACCCTGTAGGTTTTTCGTTCTTTGATAGTATTTTTTGTTAAAGTGAAGCCCCAATATATGACACCTAAAATAACAGCCACTAAACAACGGGGTTGTTATTATTTTCTGACTGGCCGTTACCACTACAAACACCAAAGCACGCTGCTTCTTTAAGTTCCAGTGCTTCCAAAGCAGTTTCTAAATTAAAACAAATATAGTATGGCCCTGTTGATTTTGTTGCGTCGTGTTGTTGTGGTAATTGAAGCTCATCCATTTCGAAAACACCATAGGCGAAAACCTGTTTCTT